TTTACCTATCATAAGCATAAGGAAAAGAAAAAAGGAGAGAAGTGATTCATCGATTATCTCTATCAGAATTGAATTCCAGATGACCAGGGCAAAGAATGTGTAAGCTTCTCTCGTGTAAATTGTTCAGGATAAAGAATGTGTAAGCTTCTCTCGTGTAAATTGTTCAGGATGGTTCAAATTTCTGATTATGTCTACCGGAATTACAGATATAAATTTCGGATCACCGGATAACCAGGGTCAAAGAATGTGCGAGATTTTCTCGTGTAAATTGTTCAGGATAGCTCATATTTCTGGTTAAACAGAATGACTGGATGAATGGTAGTTTTCTTGAGGTAACCCGTTGCTAATGGAACCGGATCCGGTAATGTCATATCCAATATCGCTTTTCGAAATTATGCGAGGAATGATTTGTTGAAGGTGATAAAGATACATTAAAATAGTACATAGAGTATTGAGACATCTAGACAACTACGAACATTTACAGAAGAAAATCGTAGAAGAGATAGGTGATTTCATCGGACGCAATACAGGATTTAATGAACCACGGGTGGGCCATGAAATTCTTGTTTGTTTTGTGGGGACAAGAAGTGTTGGACACTTGTTCCGCTTCTGGCGAATTGTTGTGGCTAAAATGTTGTGTTTATCTGTTATTATTTCACCTATCATGAATTTAGCATTGAATTACTCCTATATTTTATCATTGCATATGACGAACTTATCGGTGACATCCGTTTGGATGCTTCTCATAGAATTAAAGGAATGATTCATGTAGTGTAGGGAAAGGATCCATCGAAGATTTTGAGTAAATCAATGAATGTAAAACTTGATTTGTTTGAAAACATTTCATTCAATTAACTTGAACGTTATTTTTGGACTCATTTTCTGATTAAAGGGAATACATTTTCAATTCCTATGACTTACTTATGGTTTTCGTTAATACCACTCATTTGGTTTAACATTTTATGGTTTTGAAATCACCAATTTATATATCGCTGGTAATTATCTATCGCTTATGTGTCTAATCAATTCTTTGTCTATCTTCATTTTATTATGATTCAATATTTGCCGTTTACTTGGTTACGATTTTTGCATGCAAAACTTTGAATTCATAAAATCTTTGATGAACTATTGATTAGTACTTACTCACCGCATATTGATTTAATTAATTAATCGTTCATTCCTTATGTGTTCATTCACAACAATTTTAATCCCGTAATAGTTTTTATGGTTTGATATTTACTTATCGCATTTCGATGTACATCAACTAAGCAGTTATTTGCTATTCCCGTTTTTACTTATGCATTTCATATTTATGCGCTCAATTACTCATTTAATCTTTATAGCTTTGAAATAGTGAAATAGTCAATGGATATACCAGATGGTATTACTGGATGGCATGACATTGTCTCGCCTCTGCATAACAATATGAATGGGAACAGTAATAAACGGAAAGCTCCAGGACCAGTCGTTGTTCCAAAGGAAGCGAAGGCATTGAAGAAAATTGTCAAGGAAGTAAGTTTTACTAATTTCTTTACTAACCGATTACTGATTAATCATACTAGCACTGAGAAAGCATTACATGACAATAGAACAGCTTTACTTTATTTATAACCGTATGTGTTTTTAGATGTTGTGGGATTTTTATTTTCTCAGCGAAAGTTAAAACATTTCAGAAAGGAAGACATTTATTTTATTTTTTTCTGTTTTTAGTGATGTATAAGACGGTTGTCTACTACTAACCTTTCATGTCTACTTTTACTTCATTGCTCAATAGGTGAAACCACTGAAATATGCCACTGGATAAAACCGTTGTTTCGTTAAATATGCGGTTTTTCTTTTTTTTTATTTCCAGTCAACATCGGATGCCAGCGATGATATAGAAATAGCTCAGTCGTCTTCAGTGGATCTTCATTTTTCTCCTAGTCAAATTGCGAAAATTGTTCAGGTACCTTTTTACTTGTTAAATTGTGTTATACAGTTAATTTTAAGGAATCCAACTTCAGTTTTGTATATTTGTCGATTAGATTTGATTGCTTTTCAGAATCAAAAAATGAATTATAAAAGTAAAGGTCTGCCATATTTTGCTGATAATAATAAATTCTCCGAATTCGTTATTTTGATGATTGATCAGAACTTATCTTAAATTCGTCTCAAGTTCAAGTAGTTATGAAGTCGCTCCTTTTGGATATTTAAATATTTGGAATTTTCAGGGATTAAGGACTAAAGTACAACAAAAGAAAAAAAACTTGTCAAAAAAAATTCGTGGGGTTCAATGATTTTGATGATATTGATATGCCGCCAGGAGGAACGAAGGAGTAAATTTTAAAATTTTTGCTACTCAACCAACTTGTATTTTTAGTTATCACTTCTTAAACTAATAACAGCTTCATAGTTGTGGTTCTGTAGTGAAGTTTCCTTACGCACTTAAATGATTCGGTTTAAGACATTTAGAAAGCGATCATTTAATGAGATAAAATCTTCAAAACTGGCCTGATTCTATTTGTGTTTATTTCTCAACCTTGGGTTTTCTTTATTAGAGATTTTTAGTGAGTTTTCAAATATAAATGCTATGTATTTTGTTTTCAAATTTAAGGTGCGAACGGTATAGGAAGTAATAATAATTTTAAGAAAATTTTAATTTGTTGCAACATTTCTTATGTAGTCTCTAATATCCATGAAACATTTAGGATGCTTAAGACCGACTTACGCAGATGTTTGAAAGAAGCAACAATATTATCGTCGATGACTGTATCGACTGCTCTTGAAGTTGGATTTTTACAGTTTTGATGAAATTCCCAAAAATTTTAGTCAGTGCAGAAGTCTACGCATTAATAATGCATCGTTTGTCAGTTGCAGTTAGCAAGTGTGGCGAATTACCTAGCAGACTTTACTGTTTGGTTTTGATTTTGACATTGAGTAGTGTAAATTGAAGCAGGGTTCGTTTCCTATAATGATATGGTTTCCTGTCCGAAAAATATTTTCCGGTTTTTGGAAATACGTTGGAAAATGTCCTGCAAGTAGGAGCATCTTTAGTTGAATATAGTGAATATGACATGCAAACTTGACAAAGCTTCATGTCTTTGAGAATTTATGATATTAATAAAAATTGTTTAAGTTGTTGCATGCATTTTTGGAAGAAGGTCATAGTGTTACAATGGATCCGACATTTCCTAAAAAGCCACCAAATGCTTTTTCAATATTTATGCGAAAAGCAGGACACAGCAGGTTCTCATCGGTAAGTTTATTATGATTTTAGCATGTTTCTGCTGACTTTTCCTAATATCATTTGAGCGCTTCGTAAAAGTGTGCTATGAACTGAAGACTGAAATTTCAAGGTAATAAGCAGCATTCATGCTGTTGTTTGGCTTAGCATGAGAGAAAAAGCATCATTTATAGTGTTGAGATGAACTTATCCTTTCGAAATTGAATTCGATCCCGTGATAAACTCGTTGCGTGTGGTGCAGATTTTAGCAGTATGGCTCAGTGACACTCTTCTAGAATGACTTGCGCATAGGAACGGGGTAATCAAAGGATAAAATAAATCCTCTCATGTGAGAATTCTTCTTAAGCATGAAGTCTTAAAGGTCTTAAAGATTCATGTCCTTGGTCATCCGATTAACCAACGTACTCCAGGTACATTTCAGGTTTTCATCTTTTATAATGCAAATATTTTCAGGATGTAAGCGCATTCTGGAATAATGAATCGAATGCAGCCGAAAAAGCAGAAGCAAAAAAGGAAGCTCTACAATTAATGGAGAAATATTTATCAAATTTGCATGCTTACAGGTAAATTTTCCGGATTTTAATTAAGTTGTAATTATCATTTACGCTTCGTCTTTTGTGAGCTTTCCATGTTTTCTTTTCAGAGAAGCACACCAAGAATTAACGCCAGCACATCGAAATTATGTGGATAATGCAATTTCGATCGCACAGAAAGCTGTAAGTTATTATCTTTAAGCGAAATTTTCATTCAAATACGCTTTTGTTACAAGCCTTACATGCTAGTCTTCAGTTGCATATACCAACTTTACATTCACTTGTCATATTAAATAACTAATGTAATTTATATTTTAAACACTTTCAAGTTGCCGTTCTGCTTTTTCATTCACTGCGTGAATTCTTTGATACAGTTCGTAATCAGGGATTATCTGGTTAACAGTAAATATTTCCGGTGGAATGTTGAAGTAACTATTTCAAGTTTAGATCGGTAAATCAAAAGGGACAACAACAAATAATAGCAGCAAGAAATCCGTTAAGAAGAAAGAGCCGAAAACTGCCTTCGATCTCTTTGCAATCACTATGGCTAATAAGTAAATTATACTATGGCTTATGTTGTGGCTTAAACATATGATTATTAGTATACTAGAATTAAATTTTACATTCCGAGAGTATTCTATAACTGTAATCAGAGACTATGTGCGATGGTGAGTGCAACTGGATTGCCGAAATTTCTTCATGAAGCTACTTGTAGTTTCATCTTCTGCCAAAAAGCAGTGTTTGTCTGACTGGTTTCTATAGCGATAATTTCAATGCTTTTTATTCATTCCTCCCTTATTTATTTATATGCGATTGTTTTTAAAATCTAACTTCTTTTCAGATATGTTGATTTGGAACCGGAAAAACGAGAAAGGAGATTGCGAAAAAAATTTGATAAACTGAGCGAAGGTGAGCGGCAAATTTACGACAATTTGGCAGCGGCACTTTGACTCATGTAATATCTGTATGAGTGAAATTTTTTGTTTTGTTTGGTTAAACGGAAAGTACAAGAAATTCCCCTTCCCAAGGATTGGAATGCAGTTAATGAACAGGAGAGCAAATTTCGAATTGTACTCACTTTTCATCCTAATGCAGCTTGCAAAACTTCTTTGTAGTACTTAGATACGGAAAGTGTTGATGAGATTTGTTCAGATCATATGGCACTTCATGCATTCTAAGCATTATGTAGGACGTTGCACATTTTTCGATTCATGAAATGTTGTATATGGAATAAATCATTCTAAGTTTCAATTTTTATTTTTTTCCTGATAAATATATCAAATGCTGGGTGAGAAACTCTACTTTAAATTTGGAATAGACATGGTTTCGGTAAGCAAATATGCCAAGCTCAAATTTCTTTATTTTAAAAACTCTTCAGAATTTTCGGGGATATAAATTTAAATAATTACCGACCGAATTAAGTTGCACTCAAAAGTGCAAACATTCCAGATATTTTGCTATAGTTCTCATCTTTTTGTAGCATTTATTCGTTCAGAGTGTTAAATTTTACTTTTTAAATTTCATTGGAATTCTAATATTTAATGCAGATCCTTTTTCGATGCTTTTTATTTTATGAGATAACAGTAACTTTTGTTTTTTACGAAATTAATTTTACTGTGCTTCATTTGTTGATTCTGTGCTTTTCGTAAATTGAAACTATGTTTAATTGATCTTGTAATTTGATGAAATATATTACTTGATGCTTTTCTTATTGTTTCACTCAAGTCTTGTAAGTGATGAGTCATTTTGTCTTTTTTTCTAAACGGTAATCTTGAACAGATGATTGTAGTAATATATTAATCGAGTTCAATTGTTAACCATCCACTGAAATGCTCTAGTTACTGAATGCTGACAACAAAATGCCCTTGGATACAAATAATCGATTGCGAAGAATATTGGTTAAAATACTGAAACAAAAATGCGAAACAAAAATTAGGACAACTTGCAGGAGGAATATAAAGAAAGTACCGATGTGGTAAGAATGGGTGTTGTTGACATTAAAGCAATGGTTGACCGTTTATGTCATTATAAATTTTTTTTTTTTTTCTTCATAGGTGAAGTGACACAGAAAGCAAACATGATTGGATGAATATTCAGGTTCTATTTCTTATCAGTTCAATAAATGCCAAATATCATAAAGATCCTTAAGTAAAAAAGAAATAAGCATTGGAGGACGAATGTAGTAATATTAAAGATCAAATCGGTTGTTATCATCATATGATATTACCGTCTTTCTCTTTCTTTACTCATCCCTCCATTCTTCGCAGATTTCGGACATTGATATGACACATCATTTTATCTACCTAAACGAATCTTTAATTTTATTTCTATTTTCTGTTTGTTCCAACTAGTATATGATACCTTCAGGCATATCATCACCTCATAACTCCTTTTATATCAATTTTTTGTTATCTATTTAAATAAGATGACTTTTCCTTTTCTGGTTATTGTTATTCAATTGTTCATTATTTAATTTCTAATCAGTAAATCAAATTTTCATTAAATTTCAAAAATAAAATCAAACTTCCAAATAAAAAATCAAGTTTTGAATTTCACTTATATTTATCTTTTTAAAATCTAATTTCTTTCTCAGTACCTATGCAAGTTGTGATAGGAATCAATGATTCAAATTATCGGAACATTTGAAATGTAAGGTCAACCTTATCTTCTAATCATGTTATTAATCAAGGATACGAATATGTTATCAATAGTAGTGCTATATAAATTTCACTTATATTTATCCTCATTTGAACAATAATAATATACTGGTTACTTCCTTAATCATTTTGGCAACATTATTAGACTAATTATTTTTTTTTTTTTTGAAATTTGCATCTAATAATTTTAATAAAATATTTGTATTCAAATATTATTCATCTTTATTTCAATGACATGTTACTTTTTGTGGCCACAAGTTTATTAATCACTTGTTTCTCATACATTCACCATGAAATGTCATGACTAAAAATTCCTGTTTCAGTCTTTTTTTTTCAACTTTGATTAAATCATTTATTTTAAAGAAAATTTAATAGAAAATAATCATTGTTAAAGTTCATTTTCTTCCTTTTTTTTTTCCAAATTTTTTAAGTTAAAAAATATTTTTTTGCGTTAAAATTCATCCTGGATTTTAATCAATTATGAATTTTTATGTCATATATCGTTGGCTAATGGAATTATTTCTTCATAAATAATAATATGCTTAATGGATTTTTACGATTAAATTTCGAAATTGAAAAAATCGATCAACTATTGGGATGGAAAAAATTTCCCCAATTCTTTTTTGTAAAATTATGAAGTTCGAAAAAAAAAAGAAAAAAGTGGTAAAAATGATTTAAATCAATTTGAAGCGCTATTGATTAGTCAAAATAACAATGAAATGAAAAGAAATGATTCGAAATTACAAATATTAGAAATATTTCGAAATAGGTAAAGCAAAAATAATTTTATTTTATTCGTATTTTTTTCAAGAAACTTTTTTTTTTTGCTTGCTTCCTTTACAGAATGATTAAGATTTGTTTAAACTTTTACCTATATTTATTTTTACATTTGCATAAAATTTCGTAACAAAAAAAAAGAATCTAGATTCCTTTCTTTTTTTTTAGTTGAAAAATTAATTTACCGATTAAAATGGATGGAAATAGTGAAATAATGAGGATGGAAATTCTTATCAAAGTTGAAAATTTGAAATTCCTCTTTTTTTGAAATTTTTTTTATTCATTTCCAAAAAGAAAAAAATATTTTATTTATTTCATTTCTAAAAGTTTATTCATTTCATTGCTAAAATTTTATTCATTTCATTTCTAATTCCAACGAATTTTCTTTTTTTTATTAATAAACGAAAATGTAAAATAATTTCGGAACATTAAATTTTCATTCCTGAGAAGGATGAATTAAATGTTAAAAAAGACAAATTATGTGCAAAAATTTTGCTGAAAAGAAAAATGTAAGTTTCGAGGAAAATTAAAATATCTTTATTGGTTGAAAAAAAAAAGAAAAGAAAAATCATTGAAATTTATTACACGGTTTAATTTGAAATTTATTATACGACTTAAGTATGTAAAATGCTACTGGTAAATACAAAAAAAAAAAAAAGTAAGGAAAAGAAAGAAAAAGAAATTTTATCAGAATTCTTAAATTATTTATTCAAATGTATGTTATTAATATGAATTAAAATATTTTTACAATGTTATTGATGATTTGAATTATTTATG